TTAAAAGCAGACACGAATAAAGGACTTTGGAGTGGGCATTTCAAAAACAGTGGTTTTGTTTCAGCTAAAAAACCACCCCAACCACCCTAAACCTTAACGGATCTGTAAAGGCACAACCCCTGATCCAAATAGGCTGAACCAAAACACAGAAAAAGTCTAGTATGATCCCAAAATGACTAGCTTGTCTTTAATTAGGCCATAGTTCACACAATCTAAGTTCACACTAAAATAAAATGCCACACAATAATAATGCGTTGTTGTGCTGTTAAAAGTTTTGGACAGGTGAGAAACACATATGATGTGTAGCCTATGTGGAAATATATCATATAGGCCTATTTCAGTTTACTTAAAATCACAAGCTGTTGACCTTGTGTTTATATATAATTTAATTAGCAAAATAAGTGGAATCATACATTTTTTTATCGTTCTTTATTATAATTCTATATCAACTTGGAATAGCTTAAAGTTTGCCCATCTTCACCTCATCATCATTTTCTTCATAATAATTAGAATAAAATGTAATAATTACAATCCACATACCTACTTCATTATGCAGTTGCCTACATGAGGGTGGGGGAACCATACTATATCCTGTATCTGCTTATATTTTCCATTAGTGATCCCTTCTAATGATCTAATGTAGTGTCCAAATAATAAAAAATTTATATAAATTACTTCTAATGTGGCCCAATAGTCAATCCATCAGTCACACAAATAGAGCACAGCAGACTTGGCCTCTCTCCCCTACACTGGTGACTTATGATTGTCTACATTCTCTACTTGCCTCAAAAGACTCCGATGCACTCTGTACCCTTTTATCTTTGCGATGACAACAGTGACAAATTAACTTTGGTCCAAGGTCAGAACACAAAGCGTTGTTCTTTCCTTTGTTCCAGCTCCTTAAAGCTCTCAGTAGCAGTCCCTTTCCTTTGGCCTGTTCAGTGCCTCTCTACCTCATACATAGGAGTGACTGGAAGGAGCCATAACACTGAACACTGTCTCATTTCTTCAACAGCTGGGAATGTGCTTTCTGGCAGAGAGTTAAACTAAGGTGAATACCACAATAAATATTAGCTGGTTAGCTTAGCTTAGCACAAAGACCGGAAACAGGTTGCCTAGCTCTGTGTAAAACTAACAAAATCCACACACCATCACCTCTAAAGGTCACTAATTAACTTGTTATATCTTGTAAGTGCCAATTTTCCAGTGCTAAGCTAAGATAGACTGCTGTCTGTAGCCTTATATTGAAGGACAGATATGTGTTATCAATCATCTCTACCAGACAAGTAAGTGTAAAGTGTATTTCCCAAAATATAGATTTTTTAAACAACTGCCAGTAAAAATATTAGCAAAGAAAGTTTTCTCTTAACTATATTGAATTTGAACTAAAGACTTTTTCATCATTAGGCCCACAGACTCTTTAAATCAGCTGAACAGTAATGTTCCCATCAACATTTATGTTTAAGCAGCAGGGAAATTGCCTTAATTTTCTCCATATTTGTTACAATTTCATGCTACCATCACACCTCCAGAATGATTTGTTTCAATGAGTCCTACATTCAGAGAAGGATAACATCTTCCAGTGCTATTCTTATCTGATCTAAGATCAAACCAAGACTCAATTAAGTCTCATTCCTGCTGAGAGCAATTACCTGTGTTAATGTCTATGAAGATTCTCAGTCATCCAGGTCATAGTTATCCAACAGAGGTTAAAATCAAGGGCAACTGGACTTGGTTGAAGATACTGGAGTCAGCCAGTCAGTTAGAACTGAAGAAGTCCTTTGGATGAGGGACGAAACGTCTTCCAGTATCTTCAACCAAGTCCAGTTGCCCTTGATTTTAACCTTCGTTGGATACCTGTGTTAATCTATTAAGGGGTCTTTAGGTCGAGCAGCTGTAGCTACAAACAGATGTCTGCTCATCATCCTTGTGAAACATGTTCCTTTGTACAGTACAAACAGTGCACTTTACCCACTGATCCAAATAAATGATTACACACATATCTAAGTGACTGGTTAATTTTTACCAGCCGCTGCAGAGTGTGGCTGGTAGGCTATTGTTTTTACCTTGTGAGACTGTTTGCTTGTCATCATGGCAAAGTGTGATCCTGTGAGTCTGTGGACAGATATTGTCTAAGTGACATCACAACCAAGATGCAGTCCTGAAACTTTACAGGTGTGTAGTGAAGAATGAGGGCCAAGTTCAAAGATGGGTCCGAACAAAGGGGGGTTAGAAATAGGGAAGGGGCCACTGGCTCCCGCCCCCACTTTATGCTCTTACCCCACATTCGTTTTAAATCGTGGATCACTGGTTTCAGTCATTCCTGTCATTAGGTGAAAGTGTGTTTGTGTGTGTGTGCCTGTGTGTGTTTGTTTTTTTCTGTCATCATGGCGAAAGGTGGTCCTGGAGACACCTACTGTAGCAGGAGGGGCGGAGCTAGACTCTCAGCACAGTGGGGGCCGAGCTTCATCACTGGGCCCACCTGCTACCAAGTAATTTAAAAAGTTTACATGACCCCGGACTCACTCCGAAAGTCCACTGAGTCCGTCTGCGTCGCTGTTGCCAGAGCTGATCGCCATCATTCAACTAAATGTCTGTGCTCACACCAGAAGCGCTGCAGTGCGTCCAAGAAGTGTCCCAGCGTCAAGCAGCACAGAGCAGATGAACCGGGCAGGAAGTGAGACACAGAAACGGCAGACAATTTGGTCAATTTACAAAATAAAATACCCAGTACAGACTTCCGATCGTATATCAACAATAAACACAGTTAAATCAGACAAAAAATAAACATTTTAACTACTAATCATAGTAGAAGCAAGCACTAATCAACAAATCAACAAAATCTAAACATATCAGCAAAATCTGGCAGGCAAAACGCTCTTATTTTGTCGTGCTGCGTCAAGTACCGCTGTTGCTCGTCTGTGTTCATGACAATGAACTAAGCTAAACATGGCCCATATAGTGGGCCCCCTACTAGTCTGGGTTGCCGGCACCCATGCACCCACGCTACCTCTGCTTATGGTAGCGGGCACTACCATAGAGGCTGCTGTGAGTACTTTGGCAGGTGTTAATGTATGTATCTCTGTCTGTGGACAGATTTTGTCAACGCAATAGTGTCACAATAATGCAAGAGGTAGTCACAGGACTTTTCAGTTGATATCTAAGATGGGGGTGATCCCACCCATCTTTGAACAGAGCATTAAAAATTTAACAGAGCTCAAAACTCATAGTTCAAGCATATTTGAAATTAATTGTATCATCTAAGAGAAACAACTCTAGGATATTATATATCAGCAAACTCAGCACAGTGCTGGCAAATCACATAAAGGGCAATTTTAGTTTTTCAGTTTCAGTTCAGTTACATTTCAAATTAAGAAGATAAAATGTGTCTACTATGAGGTAAATGAAGGAAATCAAGACCTTTTTTCTCAGTGTCATACTGCTAAAACCTGGTGTTGACAGCAAATATTTTACATGCTGTGAAAGCCTGAGTTAATGATTATGTAGGGTGACAGATGTGCAGTCTCCTGTATTGTTTACAAAGGAAATGAAACAAGCAGACATTGGGGCATTTTACTTCATATCCACCTTCAGTGATATTAGATAATGCTAAAATAAAACTTCAATAGTAGACTGACAGATAGTAGTAGTAAATACACCATCTTGGCCATCTTTTACATGTGTAGAAGACTCAGAAGATCAGTGTTTTGGAACTGCTTTAACCAGACAAAGTTTTTGATCCTCATTTATTTGCAGACCTTGCAGTCACAGACAGGGAACATTTTTGCATCTCATTGTATAATCTACCATTTTATATCTACTTGAACAAATATCCTTCCTGCAATAAATTAGTTTAAAGGTCAGATACATATGTCTCAAAGATCTGAGGTGATTCCCCACTGCATTGATATGCATTTGCATTCGTACAGTGATCTTAAGCAAGACACCCCACTCTTAACTTGTTTTTGAGATAAACCGCTGTTTCTCAGGTTTGTCACATGATTATCATAATGTGGTTAAAATAAGTAATTTAAGTTCATTATCCGCACAGAAGAAACCCTGTTTGGATAAGGTCACTAACTTTCTCCAACATTAAACCTACAGTTGCAGGAGACCATTTGTTGGGTTGGTTTCCATGGTTTTCATCTGTAGACTTAGATTAGTTGTTTCTGAAAGCGTCTTCACTGATGAAAGACCTCTGATGACCAGGGCGTAATCTTGTCATGCATTAATATCCTGAATCACTATCGTGTGGGGGAAAAATATCACAGCCTTGCAAATGGAGAATAAACATTTGCCCCCTTTAGCTCAGTTGAAACATTCCTGATTATCTTCCTGAAAGGTCATTTATGCAAGTACTAATTGTGTAATTCTGGTACGCCCACATGTACCAGTGATGGAGCACAGTAGACCTAAACAGGTCAGGAAATATACAGTAAATGTGAATATCAGTGTAAACAATAAGCATACATTGAACATACTGTATTTGTGCTACAGACTAAAATGGGTTACTGTAAAACCAAGAGCCATTTTAGCAGTTCATTCTAAATGGAGTAAATTAACATATTTATTCAACAATTCAAAGCCTACATACTGGATTGCTACAATTCCTTCTGAACTTTACATAAAGGCCAATGGGAGTCTTAATGCTACTTAGCAACATTTAGAGTACAGGCACGTGCACGTCTTTGGGGTATTTAAAAGTGTGGAATGCTGTTTAGAGAAAATACCACTTTGACCACAGTGGTGTGGGGGCTGGGTGGTTAGATTGGCCACTCTGAAGCTTTTGATCATTTTTCTTTTAGTTAATCAAATCAGTGATTGAGAGGTCTCTTATTCACTAATCCCAGATAAATAGTTTTACTGTCTGCTAATAAACTGAGAGGCAATGGAACCAGCAGTCTTAAGTCACTCTTGAACGTTATCCCCTTGAAAGGAGCTTTAATATTCCCTTAGGACTGGAAACTGGAAAGTTTTTTCTCTCCGTCCCACCGAGGGACCGGCTCACTCTGCCCCACAGAGAGCTCAACCCTACCACTCTGGTGCTAAGCCGAAGAGGGATACCACGTCTCAAACTCTGAGACTCTGAGGATTTTTTTTCTTCCTCAAGAGAAGGGAGGAACTTTTTTTCATAAAGAATGGGAGACTATGATGAAGACACTGCATTCCTCGGACAGACTGGTCCTTATTTTTGGACCACATTCTTCCTCCTAAACACAGTTTTTGTCTCAACTGGATTCAACGGACTTTACATTGTCTTTGTTGGGGCAGCTCCGAAACACCACTGCCTCATTCCAGACATTAACTTGACTGAGGAGTGGAGAAATGCCATCATTCCATTGACGATAGTGGATGGTGAGGAGGTGCAGAATCAGTGCAGCAGATATAGGCTGGATGTGGTGAGAAATCTCTCCGCCAAAGGATATATTCCTGGAACGGACGTCATCCTACCTAACTTGGAGCAGGAGGGATGCTTAGATGGATGGACCTACAGCAAAGAGATCTACCAAGCCAACATAGTCACTGAGGTCAGTATGAATGTGCACATGTGTGCTTTCTATGTGTGTTGTTATGAGAAATTTCAATTCAGAAAGTTTTCAATCAACCTTATTCTTTTCTTTGTTTTGTTTGAAGTATATGTGTAATTCATGTCTTTTTATAGTGGGACCTTGTTTGTGACAACCAGTGGAAAGTTCCCTTTGCATCCTCAACTCTCTTTGTGGGATACCTCGTTGGGTCCCTAATCTCAGGGCAGCTTTCTGACAGGTATTTCATCTTATTTATCAGTGAAATTCCTCTAAATACACTGATGTCATAGTCCAATATGAACTATAAATGTACTTTCTGTATACTAAGACAGTTTTGGTCATTTACTACATATAAAGACAACTGCTCCATCTACTGTTGAAGTTGATCTCCTCCAAGAGAGGATTTCTTTTCACCTAGATAGAAGTCTCTGACTTGTCCTCACCTCACTCCTTGCAGTAATGGGTTCCCAAATATTAGACCACCTTTGTCTTTATTAAATGGTATGGAATGAAATATGGGTGCTGTGTGTTTATGCCACAGAGTTATTGTTCTAACCACATGTGACAATATGTCTATGAAGATTCTCAGTCATCCAGGTCATAGTTATCCAACGAAGGTTAAAATCAAGGGCAACTGGACTTGGTTGAAGATACTGGAAGACGTTTCGTCCCTCATCCAAAGGACTTCTTCAGTTCTGGGATGTGACAATAATACTATAGAATATAGAGTTTATAGTATTTGATGTTTGTTGTTGTCAGGGTTTGGCTCAGGCAGACATTAAGTACCTTTTGATTGTAGAAAAGCAGGGGGCTCAATACACAGCACTGTGTAGCCCTTTTGTGTTTAGTTCTTTTGCAGCTGTGAAAACTGTAGACCCAATTGTTGAGAGAGGGGGGTTATGGGCTTTGAGGTTATAGAGCTTTTTAATCATGGTGTCACCTTGATGAATTTAAAGACAAAAATAAACCCATTGAAGAGTATACCTATATGTTGCCAGCAGTTCAGGAGAACACTTTAACAGTCCTCATGTTGCTCATTTAAAATAGTCTCTCCTAACATTTAAGGTCAATGCTCTGTATTTGTATAGCGCCTTTCAAGTCTTTGGATTGAACCGCCGATCTTGCGATTGGCGATCTGCAATGGCTTTATGTTTAACAAAAGGAGATTACTGCGCCTTCATGTAATTAATAGATCATTTTCTGACAGTACCGACTCAATTTTGCATATAAAAACAATTTACCTTAAAACTTTAATTAAAAGCCTAGTACCTGTGTTAATCTATTAACATAGGGCCTATTCCTTTTACTGGCCTGGTGTGGCTCGTCTGATTATATAGAAATGTTTTGGATGTTATTTTATATTTAAACTTTTCAGTAGAGACATGCAACACATCATCAGGTCAGTTAGATTCTCCACAATTCAAAGCCAAATCCTTATCACCACAGCAAATTCCTCATATGTGTAAAACACTACTTGGCAATAAAGCTCCTTCTGATTCTGATTCTGATTCAATCGTTTAGTTTGTTTTACGGAAACAGTGTTCACCAATGTATTATTCTTTCAGATATATCGGCATGGTAAAGCAATTAAAGGCCTGTCCCACATACAGTAGATGCATGTCACAAATATTGGCAGGTTCAATTTTTAGGTAACTTACTAAAAATTATATCAACTCTGGTGCACAGACCTTGAAAGTATTAAATTGCAGTAAGACACAGTTGTTTTTTATCAAAGTCACGTGGCCATGATATTAGCTTTTTGGCTGGTTGTTGCATTGACCTTTTTTGCAAAAAAGTTTCAATTCAACAGTTTCAATTTAATACAACTAAATTGCGCGCATCTTCCTGATCCAGGGAGGTACTAAGTTAGATTTGGTAACTTACAGCCAAGTCATTGCTTTGGTTGTGTACTCCAACACATATGATATGAAATGAAACAACAATTATAAGGGTAAAGTGCTCACTCTCAACTTTAATTTGAGTGTGTTTAAATCCACAGTACCTGTATCAACAGTGCAGAAATTGTAGACTTTCTATTATTTCCCCGATTTTAAGAGACAGAAAGTAATTAACCAAGTTAATCTGAATTTAAATACAGTTAATATATAATATTTGGTTGGCAAAAGTCATCGACTGGCTGCAGTCTACCACTCACTGACATAAGCAGACACTTGATCTCATCCCTGTTGATGCTTTGCCTGGCCTTTGCTGCAGAGCTCTACCCTTGTTTCTTGTTTAGTGTGTTTTTTTCCTTAAGTCTGGTCTCAGTTGGATCAAAGTCATGTGCCCAGTATTGGTTTGGCCATAAAAGACCTCATTGGTTGTTGTTAATGATCACTGCCCAGCTGCACTGTCTTCCAACATGTCACTAAAAAATAAAGTTTAGGCACCACCAATAGTTTTTAAAGTTTTTAATAATATTGGATAATTTGTGACATTTGAATTATAAACATGTCACTGTCATCATATTTTCTAAATAATCTGTGTCTGTGAATAACTGTCAAAGATATATAATTCTTTTCCATTCAGGTTTGGGAGGAAGAAGGTTGTTTTCATCTCTCTTGCGGCCCAGTGCATCTCAGTCCTGCTTCAGTCCTTCTCTCATTCATGGCGGATGTTCTGCATTATGTTCCTCTTTGTTGGAGCCTCCCAGATTTCCCTCTATATATCTGCATTTGTACTAGGTATGAATTGAAAATAAATTCTTGTCATCTGCATGAATAGATGATTTTACTAATTTCGGTATGGCTTTTACTGTGCTCTGGTTTGTCTACTTTTTAAAATGTCTTGCTCATGTCTAAACCAGGACATTTTATTTTATCTTGGACAGGAACGGAGGTGTTAAGTAAAACAATGCGAGTGGTCTTCACAACTCTCGGGGCCTTTCTTTTTTATTGCCTTGGTTACATGACACTACCCTGGATTGCATATGGCATTAGAGAATGGAGGACTCTTCTTGCCGTTCTGTCCACCACTTCTGTGGTCTACATCCCACTGTGGTGGTATGTTTCCCACAAATATTTACTGATTTTTAAACTGAAATTCTGTGCATGAACATAATGTTTCCAAAGTCCGCATCCATGGTTTAACAGATAAGACAAAAAACAACCTGTTTTGCTGACTTTCATAGTAAACTTAAATTGCTTATGCAGGTTCATCCCGGAGTCTCCTCGATGGCTGATAACTCAGGGAAGAGTAAAGGAGGCTGAGGCCATAGTCAGAGATGCTGCAAGGAAAAATAAAGTTGAGGCACCAACTGTAATTTTTAAAGAGGCTGAGGTAAGCTTTTTTTAAAGATCATTGTATAATTTGTGACATTTGAAATTATAATGTTCCATTATACATTTTGGTCAAAAATTATCTTGTTTTGTCTTTTGTTTTTTTTACAAATGTCACATATGTGACTCTGGGAATGAAAATCTCATCAACCTTTCATATATGCCAATATTTCATATTATAGCCAAATACATTACTACTGCTTCTTTACAGTTTATTTGAAATAGATTTTTTGTCCCTGTAATCATTTGTTTGTATTTAGAATTTAGCATACTTTTGTAGTATCACAGTTATGTCTAAAATTGGTTTATGTAATCCCATAATTTTAACCCCTTCAAGCCTGCTTCTTAACTGGTCCTTGGCAGTGGCCTAAATTGAATCTACTCAACATATTTGAGATATTTTGCGTGCAAGTCTGGAAAACAACAACCACATAAATTCTCCTGTTTGCATTGGTTTTAACTACAGGCAGTGTCTCCAGTCAGGACATATACCATGCTTGATATTCTGAAATCCAAGAACATCAGATGCATCACACTGATGTGTCTCCTTTTGTGGTGAGTGGTTGTTGTTTTTTGGTTATGTTTTGACATTAAATAAAGGTTATTCACACTTTTCACACCTTTGATCCAGCTATCTGTCCACATGCATATTTAAGAACCAAATGTATTACGACAACAACAAAAGTACAATGTAAACATGTATCTCATGACATTTATTTGATAAATGGTGATGTGCCATTAATTTTTTTATCTTTTCAGGATGGCAATAAACATTGGGTATTTTGGATTATCCCTGAATACTTCCAACTTGAGTGGCAACCCCTTCATGAACTGTTTTTTATCAGCTACTAGTGAGGTCCCTGCCTACATTGTTTCTACTTGGCTGCTAAGGAAATGTCCAAGAAGAGCACTTCTGTCATCATTCCTTATCATTGGAGGAGGAGTTCTTCTTCTCATCCAGTTCATCCCTGATTGTAAGACCTCCTTTTTGTTATATACAGACTGACAACCAGTCTAACACACACACAGCGAGATACATGATAAAGGTTATTTCGCAGCTGAAACATTCAGACGGGAAACACTCACCACAGCTATGGGTGATGGGTGTTTTCATTTACATGACAGAGTGACATTTATAAGGTGAGTTCACCTAAAATACAAATAAACACTTTCCCAATCAAAGAATAATTAAACAATTTGACTCTGGAACAGACAGCAGACCTCTGCCCGAGGATCTCAAGGTACGTGCTGGTGCATATGGGACTAAAAGGTCCCGTTTGAGCAATAAAATTTTAAAGTCAATTCTAAAACATACTGGGAGTCAGTGTAATGAAGCTAAAATAGGGGTGTGATGTGGTCATATTTCTTTGTTCTGGTTAAAAGCCTGGCAGCTGAGTTCTGGACAGTCTGGAGTCGATCAATAGATTTTTGGGTTAAACAGGTGAAAAGGCTGTTGCAATAATCCAGGCGTGATGAGATGAAGGCGTGTAAAATGGTCTCGGTGTCCTTAAAAGTTACCATAGATTGAATTTTTGCTATATTTCTAAGTTGATAAAAACATGATTGAACAAGCTTTGTGGTGTGCTGCTCAAAATTTAAATTACTATCAAACCAGACACCAAGGTTCTTTGCAACAGGCTTAATGTGATTTACTTGGGATCCCAGCAGATGGCAGTATTTGATTTGCCATCTGCTGGGACCCAATGACCAGGATTTCTGTTTTGTCTGAGTTCAGTTGGAGGAAATTATTTGACATCCATTTTTTAACTTCACAAAGGCAGTTGTTAAGTGAACTCAGCATTCCAGGGTCTGTGGATCTGACGGGCAAGTATATTTGTGTGTCATCAGCATAAATATGAAAAGAAATACCATGTTTATGGATAATATGTCCAAGGGGAAGCAGATACAAGGAAAACAAAATGAGTCCTAAGACTGACCCCTGAGGCACACCATATTTAACTGGACAGAATGAGGAGACATTCTAGGGCAGTACCAGAGATCCCCACCCAGTGCCTCAGTCTGTCTAACATGATGTTGTGATCAATGGTGTCAAAAGCAGCGCTAAGGTCCAGGAGTACCAGGACTGAGCACATGCCATCATCAGCAGACATTAAAAGGTCATTGGTGACTTTAAGTGGGGCAGTCTCAGTGCTGTGGTACTTCCTGAAACCAGACTGAAACTTTTCAACTTTGTTATTTTCCAGCACAGTGAGCAGCTGTTTGGACACAATTCTTTCTAGAATCTTTGCAATAAAAGGCAGTTTTGAAATTGGGCTAAAATTATGTGGGAGGGAGGGATCTAAACCAGGTTTCTTTAAAAGTGGGTTCACGCAAGCCGTTTTAAAATAATCAGGGACACAACCAGTAGATAGGGAGCTGTTAAAAACAGAGATCAAATGGGGCCCAACAGAATCTATTACTTTCAGCTCAGACATGTCGATGGAATAAAACTGGTTAAAACTCTCTTGTTGCTGGTGAGGGACCTCTGAGTAAGAGGTTGTGGTGGTAATAGAGGCTCTGATTGACACCACCTTATTGGTAAAATAAGATAAAAACAGGAGTTATCATTACTTCCAGCTGAGGCACAAGGAGGGGTTGGGTTTACCAGCTGATCCACAGTCTTAAACAGAAACCTGGGATTGTGTTTATGTGTAGTAATGAGTTCAGAAAAATAGTGTGTTCTCGCATCCTTAACCATGTTATTGTAGTTAATTAATAAATCCTTCAGACTGAGGTAATGGACTTGGAGACTGGATTTTTTCCATCTGCGCTCTGCTTTCCTGCATTCCCTTTTTAGGCTGCTAAATAACCTTTAGAGGAGCAGTAATATTTAGTGACAACAAGCAGATATGATTGAAGTGATCGACCAGATTGTTGGTGTTGGTATCAGACAGGTGTTGGCTTTGGCTCTGAAAGAATGTGCAACACTTTGTTCATTAAAGATGCGAGAACACACGGAGCTTGGTGAGGCGGCGTGAGTAACAGGCGAATCGCAGCTAAAAACAATACATCTGTGGTCAGATATGGTCATGTCCACTAATTCCACAGAGGAAATGCTGACACCATGGTCTTCTCTCTCTCCTCCTCCTCCTCAGCCCTTCAGTATGTTGCTCTGGCACTGGAAATGACTGGGAAGTTTGGCTTCACCATGGCCTTCAGCATCGTCTACATCTACACCGCTGAGATTTACCCCACTGTACTCAGGAATGTTGGCATGGGAGTGTGCTCCTCTGCTGCACGCATTGGCAGTATCACAGCTCCTTATGTCATCTATTTAGGTATGTGGATGTTGCACTGATATACTGTATGTATCTAATAGAACAGAAAAGTCTGCATCGGATAAAATAGTGAATGTAGAATTTTGCTCTTTTGTTATTTACAGGTACTTATAATAAGGTTCTGCCTTATATTCTCATGGGAAGTCTCACAATTGCCTCCTCTGTGGTGAACTTATTCCTTCCAGAGACCCTCAATAGAGATCTTCCAGAAACAATGGAGCAGATGCAAGACTGTCAAGGGTATGTGTGCTTTACTCAGGTCACTTTAGTTCACATATTTTTCCGGTCACCTTTACAACATTGTTTTAGAATGCACTTGATTAGATAAGATAAATGCACTAACTCAATTGCATACTGTAGTAATAGCTTTGAAGTCACAGGGGTTTTAGTACTCATCCTTGAAAGAGCTTTTTTATGGGGAAAAATATCTTGTATCAGTCGGAAAGACCTGCATTCTATTGGTCAAGATTGGTTGACTTATTGATATGATGATGCATCATCCGGTATTTATGTATCTGTGGCAGCTGTATTGCTATTCTATTTTAACATTGTGTTTCTTTTGGCATTACAGGTGGTGCAATGTATCCAAAAAGAAGAAATCTGTTCAAAATGGAGGAGGGGGCAACCCATCCATACATGAGGTCAAATCTGATGTGCAAACCCTTACTCTTTAGTTTTTCTCAGCCCTGATTCACTGATTCACAAGACAGACAGAAAGAACAGTTCTCTTGCTTGAAAGTAATATGAAATCTGAAAATAAAATCCAAAACATGCACAGTGGGATGCAAAGGTCCACTGTCAAGATTTTTATCTTCTTTTTTTAAACTCTTTTTTTTTTTACTCAGGTGATGCCTGCTACAGTAATTCAAGAATTTTTTTTTGGTCTTAAAAGTTTTGTATGAAATTGAAAAACATGTCTCATTGGTCTATAATTTTTGACACACAATACAAGTAATTCAAATCGGAAGATATAAACCCTTTTAATGTACAGTATGAGGTGTTTTTATCTTTTAACAAAATCTTCCAGAAATAAAATGGTTCTGTGTAATCATTGTTGCTCTGAGTCAAAAGAAGCCACAGTAGGTTAGCTTAGCTTAGCATAAAGACTGGAAACAGCTAGCATGGATCTGTCCAAAGATAATAAAATCCCTCTACTGCTATATCTTGTTTGTTTAACATTTATATACAGTACTTACAACACAATTTACCTACTGTAAACTGTGAGAAGTATACAAATGAATCCAAATCTAAAAACTCCAGCGTTGGCGACTGTCACAGGATCAGCCATGTGGGAGAGACAACCCTAAACAATGATGAGATGTTACATCAGTTCCTCCAGAGGGCATGATGTGATTACATTACACCATTTTTTGGGGGGTTAAAAAGTTTTATATTGCAACAGACAAATCACGTGACTGAACATATATTTTGGTTTTTGATACACAGAAACTAGCCTCAAAGAGTGTACATACACACAGCTAAAATACAGAATAGTAAAAAAAAATAATAATAATAGTATCCAGTTGTAGGCCTATGTCATATTCCTATGACATTGGCTATAAAATGCAACTACCAAACCAGATATTAACAGCAGTTAGAAAATTCACAAATGTTATTGTGTACAAAGTGAAGGTATCTGTATAATTTCTGATTTATTTCAGGCCTGCTTAATTGTTGTTGTTTTTTTCAAAACAACTTAAGAACTGAATGAAACACCTCATGGGTTGCTGAACAGGACTTACAATTCCAGGCTTTATTAATGTTTTACCTCCACTTGAAAATAGCTAACTCCTTTTTTAAGTATTTCTCAAATGATGTTTCATGGGGGCATATACAAGCCACCTCTCTAACAAAATATTTTAGGGGAGACATGACTACAGATATAGTTTTTACTATAGATGTTTGGCTTAACCTGCGAGTGGAGCAGGTCATGCGACAGAAAATTAACCTGCACTGACCACACTATGCTCTGCTGCTACAGTTACACAATTTAAAGTAATTTATACCATCAAAACTACTGTGTTTTCAAAAACAAGCATTTTAGGCAAATGTCCACATCTAGTAAAGTACACAAAATAAGAAGTTATTCTGATAGCAGCAGTAAAAGTGCCCTCAAATGCTCATATACTTTCTCTCTCTTTTTGCTGTTCTCATTTGCTGTTATTAAATCTAAATGTAATAATTATACTGTACATTATTTCACAGTTTGGTAAACACCCCCATTAAAATTTTGATAATTAATATTATTTTATGATTAACACTGTGTGTAACTGTTTAACTTCCACATTAAACCTTAACTCGGCTTTATGGCTCACATGACTTCCATTGCATGTCATAGAGCAGTAGAGCACACTCTCTCTCTCTTCTGCTATCAGTATTAGCGAAGTGTCTTCATTGTGTTTTGTGTCCTCCTTTTTTTTTGAAATATCATATAATATATGATTTTAGTGAGGCGATGGGCACCTCAAAAATTAGAGACTATGATAGCATCACATCTTTTCTTGGATCTTGGGGACCATTTCAGCTGAAGATTTTTTTAACACTGGCCATCAGCATCCTCCCGAATGGGTTTGTTGGCATCTATATAGTATTTGTGGGGGATACCCCACCTCACGAGTGCTATATCCCTGAAAACTACAACATCAGTGAGATGTGGAGAAATGAGACGATCCCGTTGGAAACAGTCGATGGCATTGCAAAGCGCAGCTCTTGCTCAAGGCTTAACCTGGAAATACTCAGGAACTACTCTCAAAATAAAATCATCCCAAATGTGGATGTGAATGTGAGTGAAATTCCTTTGGAGAGCTGCCTGGATGGGTGGACATACAGCAAAGAAATCTACCAGTCAACCATTGTCACTGAGGTGAGTGATAAGTCATTAGTTAACTTTCCATGGAACATGTTTTCAGTGTTTCCACAAAGAAATGGTAATAAGTAGCCTTGTTATGTCTCACAGTAATCATAATTTAATAAATTTGCAGTAAAGGTAAGAGTGAAAGGTGGTTTAAGAGTCCAAACTACATCAACACTAAGCAGGGTCAAAGGACAAACATATATTCATTAACTTAAAAGAGTTACCAGTAACACTGTGCACAAGAGCCTATTGAAATGTAAAGTGAGTAAAATTCAAGTCAAGGGATTCAATATTATGGTTGATCCAGCTGTTCCTAGGGTCAAAGTGTTTTTTGGTGCAGCTGAAGGGGGGGGTGCTGTCAAGAGTAACATAGCTAGCTAGCCTGGCAGTATCAAAGTAAACAAGGGTCCTACAAATGCAAGGCTACATGCTTCTCAACAGGAAGGTTAAGCAAATTTCACCACACTAGCTAGTTCTTACCTAGAGATTAGTGTTTAACATTACTAATTATTTACACGCAGTAACTGCCAGGTTTTGACTGGACCAAACTAGGCTAAGAAGATTTTAAATTGCATTTCACAAAAATAATAATTTGCTTGTAAAAACTGACTGAATGGCCAAATAACATTGTCTAGGTTACCATCAGTTATTTACCTCCCTAATTCTAACTAAGAAAACAAACTTCACTTATTTTCTTAAGGACTGGCAGTTTAACGAATCATTTAGCCTCCTAAAAGAGTTATCACTAGCAGTTATGTTACAGCTGGTGACACTACACTCTTTATATTTCTCAAGTTTTAATAGTGAAACACGATTTAGGAAATTAGTTTGAAGCACACTAATGGTAACTGATTTAGAAAGGGCTTTATAGATTGACAAAAAGCTGGTGTAAACAAATTTGGATTTTTAACCTGAGGTCTGTGGACTAGCTACAGAGCAGGAGAAGTGTCACATTTGGTAATACATTATGACTTAGAAAAAACACCTCTGTGTTATTGTTTTGGAAATAGTGTGCTTGTTTATGATTTTTATTATTCATAATATTGCTGCCATTACTGCTACAAAATTGTTAATAAAATAGAGACTACAGCTGCTAATAGCTACTGTTACTAATTCTAGGAGTTTATAGTAGGCCTATCTTCTGTGTGATTACTAGACTGCTGCTAAATACACTACTGCTACACCTGACACCAAAGTGTTACCTGTGTGATTACTGTTATTGTTGCCACTATTACTAGCACTACCGATAAAATTGCTGCTACTGTTAATACGACTTAAAGGCACTATTAGTGACTACTGCTACTGTTAAATAATATTAATAAGGTATTTTACATTCAAAAAACGTAACTTAATTAATTAGTCATTTAAAAAGCTTAATAATTTTTGCCTTATGTTCAAGTGTTATGCAGTTATAAGAAGCAGACACTGTTAACACTGTGTGCAACCAATCAAAACCAGACATAAGACAGGAGATTTTGTTATGAGAAGAACCAAACTCAACCAAGTTAGAGTTTTGTATTTCATATAAAAACAGATTGTATTGTTGTAAGGCAGAGACAACTCAAAGACAACATAATGTGATGTGAGATTTTCATGTCAAGTCTCTTTCCATGCACACAAATAAAAAACCCTGTATTCACGACGATGTGATTTTTAAAGTACCACACGCTTTATTATCACAAAACAGAGATTCACATGTGACAGATGATACATATTTTTACAATGTCAGTACCTATAACTAAAACAGTGAGAAAATGTGTTGATTTTGCAGTGGGACTTGGTATGTGAGAATGCATATAAAACTCCGCTGACCACCTCTATCCATTACGTTGGTGTGCTAGTGGGAGCGTTTGTCTCAGGCCAGGTTTCAGACAGGTCCGTACTGTACACAACATGGTCTGAAATGTTTTGTAAATTTTTTTGGTGTGAGGGATACAGAAAAATGATGTAACCTTCTCAATGACAAACTGTATCTCTTACACAGGTATGGAAGGAGGCCAGCACTCTTTCTTATGATGGTTCTTCAGACTGTGGCAATCACAGCGCAGATATTCTCTCCAAGCTGGGAGGTCTTCACCCTCATTTACTTCTTTGCTGGGGCTGGGGGATTCTCCAACTATATCATTGCATTTGTGCTGGGTATGTTATCCAGTAAGGATTTCAAACATGCAGTATTTTATACTGCTTGATGTGTTTAGGTACTGTATGTCCTAAGGTCCTTTTTGACCTTGTTAATTTAAAAAAAACAGAAACATATATCTGCCCCAACAAATATTCTGTTTAAAAATTTATTAGTGGCCCAAGTGGAAAAAATATATAATTTGATACATTCTCCTTTAATTACTTACACCTACAGGTACAGAAATTCTAAGCCCAAAAGCCCGTGTGGTGTTCTGCTCCCTTGGGGTTTTCATGGCCTCAGCTTTGGGATACATGGCAATGCCAGCTGTGGCTTACCTCCTTCGTGAATGGCGGATGCTGCTGATTTCCATGGCTGCCTCTAGCTTGATCTACATCCCTATGTGGTGGTAAGAATATTCATATATTCTATTTCCGCTCTTACACAACAACCTTTACATTGCAAAAGTTTCAGTGTAAATTCTCTCTTCACTTCGCTTCTCACACCTGACTGGAAATATAATATAAGACCAGTGAAGAATAATATACCTAATACAGATACCGTACTAAGATAAGATGCTCAGTTTCAGCAAACTAATCCCATTAGATTGTCAATCAGAAAAATAACATTGCTGGTAATCTGTGTGCTCCCATGAAATGGGTGGTGGTGGAAGGATGGTGATATAATGACTACTTGCGTTCTCAGTCAATGAAAGGACAAAAAGTTAACACATTTAACTCAAAAGGAAGATATTTTTACCACCTACTCCTGTCTTTCAACTGCAATCCATACTGCATGTTTGGTGGAGCAATCTATATTTTGGTAGCTTTGTGTAGGACTGTCTCATCCTAGGTGTGGGAGACTTCATAAAGAAAAGTTTAGCAAAGCAGCTGTAGCCTGCTCTTTCTCAGGGAAGTTAGACATGCATTTTCCAAACCAACCAGTTAATCAACATCATTGAAGCCTTCTCTCTTGTAAAACTAAAACATACTGTTTACTGTGTACTCATGCCACGTTCTGCTCGGAACTGGGAAATGTCCTAGTTGAAATGTCCGACTTTCATCCTCAAAGCGTTCCAGATGCATGTTGGTGCCTGACGCTGAAAGTGAACGAAATACATGACTGACCGTGATAAACTCTTTGTCAAGTGTACACGTAGTTGCACCCTCAGCACTGCCCTCAGTGTTAATTAATTTATGGCTGTTTTAATGAAAACAAGTGACTGAAGTAGTAATCCTCAAAAGTCAGTTAATGTTGTAGATTATACGTGTTTAACATTTTACTGAATAACTCTTGTGAAGAGAAGATGACTTTCAGAGATTCTTTACTGTAATCACCTACCTAATAACATTGGCAAAACATTTCTACATCAATTTACATGCAGAACAGGATGTACTATATGATGAATCATTTTAATATAAAAACATGGAAATAAACTTTTATGTTGCCTTTGAGTTTATGTTATGTGTGTGCTTCCATTGGAGCTGCCATTGTTGTGTGATGTCATTCAGCTGCTACTAGTGAAGTTGGGGTAGATATTTTTTCTCCGAGTTCACAAGTAGGAAACCCAACCCGGAAATTTCCAAGTTCCGAGTTGCCAGGAATGCAGCATTACCTGTATTCCTCATGCAGTGGATGTGTGTGTCCTAAACCGGGCTAATACTTCGGAGCAGAGTTATAAAAAATAACATGATGCTCAAAGCTAATAAGATAGCTTCCAGGTAAGGATTGTTGCAACAGTTTGTTGCTATAAATTCTGTTGAGACCAGTTCCCTTAGGGTTATGGATAAGGACCACTGTCTGGTGTGGAGCACTGCAACCTTTAACCTGTGTTTCAATTCTCCAGGTTAGTCCCAGAGTCTCCTCGCTGGCTGTTCAATCGGGGAAGAGTGAGAGAGGCTGAGGCCATACTGAGAGACGCTGCCAAAAGAAATAACGTACAGGCTCCACAGGCCATTTTCACCCAAGCTGAGGCAAGTTTACCAACAAGTTTTTATTTTTGATATGTGATAAATAAACAACACGTGCCTCAGAGGTTCTAAAAGGTTTAATAGTCTGAAATAAAACTAAACCTTCTGTCATTTATAGCCTGTTGTTAGGTGACTCATTATACTATATAGGACTATATTTTCATGGCGACGCAACAACCAGTGCAAGCAGCACTCCACTGTCTGTGTGGGGTTTTGGTGCTCATGTAGGAGGTACATTCAAATGAAGCAGCACAAAGCTAGTTATTGGTATTTTTGGTGGGTATTAGGTCTTAGACTTTGCACTGAGAAGAGATTTATTTTACATGCAAATGAAATACTTGGAGAAAATGTGCAGCAATGATGATAATACTTCAATACTCTATTTATTGAGTTATTGTCATCAGAGAGATGAGAGCAGTGGTGTGACCCTCTACTTTCTATTCCATTTCACCCAGTCCTTTTTGCACCTTCATGAACCAAAGTTGCGGGTTCCCACACAGTCCCATGACCTATCACTTTGCAATTGTTGTTGTGCTTACGCCCATAATGTGAAACGATCTAAATTGCTATATTATTATTATTATTATTGCTATAATCCATGTCTACAGTGCCATGCTATACGTTTGTGTGAGGGCTCATTTTTCATTTACACAGATGCAGGCTTGGACCCTTGGGGTTTAATTGTTGCGACTGTATCTTGTTTTTCCCAGATTGAAGATGCACAGGCTAGCAAAGACAAGAATTACAACATTTTGGTTATCCTGAGCAGCTGCAATATGTTCTCCATTACAATACTGTGTTCGCTTCTGTGGTACGTCTATTATCTCCTCACAACATCAATCCTTTAAGCATCAAAACCAAAAGACAATAAAAATAATAATCACACTTTACACCTTCCTTCACTGCTCGTGCCCGAATTGGAATCAACATGTGCTGTGTAATTATTACAGTTGGACCTAAAATGATTTGGCTTTTGTTTTAGTTTTTGGTGTTACTCATCCTTTGTATTCAACTTGTTGTTTTGAATTTCTCTGCAGGATCATCATCACCATTAGTTACTATGCTTTAATCCTCAACACTTCAAACCTGCACGGCAACCCTTACATGAACTGCTTCTTGTCTGCTGTGACAGAAGTGCCAGCTTACATAATAGCCTTGTTACTGCTCCAGTACTGCTCCAGACACTTCTGCCAATCATCTACACTCTTCCTTGGAGGCGTTATGATCCTCTGTGTTCACCTCATTCCAATTGGTAACGCTCAAATCCTTTAGCTCCTGAACCATAAGTTTATTAAGGGACAGATAGCATGATGACATGATATGATGACAGATACCATCCACCCATCATGGACTGTCAACAAAAATGTAACAGGACCAAAAGTCTACAGCCACAGTAGCTGCCTCATCATCTGGGAACCATGAATGTCTGTACAAAATTTTATTTCAATCAAGTAGTGTTCATCCAAGTAGTGGACTTTGTGACATTGCCATCCATAGTATCACCATATTAACATAGCTAAAAAATATACCAGGTAAATTTGTACAGTTTCACATGGTAAGTAAAGAAAAACAAACTCTAATGTATACTTTATATATTTTGCATGTAGTTGTTATGTTTAGCCAAGCATCGACACAGGGAAACAAGGGATAGGACCCAGAATGCAGGCACCAAGACAGGACAGGTACTATTGAAAGTATTTATTGAAGCCACAGAGATAACTTACAGGAATAGTGAAGCAGGCAGTCCAAATGCCATAAATTACCCACAGACCATACACAAAAGAAAGCATAAATCCAGAAGGCGGGTGAGGAACAAAGTACAAAATCCACAATAATCCATAAACGGGAGACTTAAATATACAAAAGGGGTGTGACAAACGAGGCAATGGTGAAAACATTCAGACAATCAACACAGCCAGGAAGCAAAGTTCAGACAGGACACAAGAGACAGAAAAGAACAAGACAGGGAGTGAAGACACTGAAACGAGAGGAGAAGAAAATAATACAGTAAAACCGAAGGTGGATAACAAATGACACAATGACTAAAAAACACAAAAGAACAAGAAGAACACGGGGACAGGAAATAAGTATACATAAACACATAAGGAAGGAGTTAACAGAATAAAACATGAAATAACAAAACTGAAAACCAAAACCATTCCCATTTGACTTTTTTAGTGCTGGCTGTAATCAAAGTTATTCTTTTTTATTTATTTAGATTTACCGGGTGTGTCTGTGTTTCTTGAGATGTTGGGGAAGTTTGGTATAACATCTTCATTTTGTGTGGTGTATGCCGTCACATCAGAGCTCTTCCCCACTGTTATCAGAAATACAGCAATGGGGTGTTGTTCCATGGCTGCTCGCATTGGAACCATCATCTCCCCCTTTATCATTTTTCTCGGCAAGTATATGTACTTTTCTGTTTTGAGTATTTAACCAGCGACAGGGCATTTTCTCTGTAAAGAGTAGCTAATAGATTTAATTCTTTCTGCGGTGTAGAGCCGCAGTGATTAGTCAGTTAGCCGTGCGACAGAAAATAAACAGGTTCGTTTCAGTCATTCCATCAATGAATTAAGAAAATTATCAGCAGATTCATTGATAATGAAAATAGTCCTTAATTGTATCTCTACTGCTGTAAGAAGCTCCTGGGTAAGATGTCTTGTGTTGATGTTAAAATTTAGTTTCCTTGTAAATGTGTTGAGACTTGATGAGGGAAGAGTTTTTCAAAGCTACTTATTTCTGTCAACCATCGTTATACAGGAAGCATAGTAACTGAGGTTTTTTATCAAAGTTGCACCTACAGGAGAGGTATGAGTTTTTCTTTGGAACTAGTTTATAATTTATGGTTTCTATCCCCGTGTCATGGTCATTTTTTTTTTTCTTCTTTTTAAAGGACAATACTTCAAGGCACTCCCATACATACTGATGGGAGCTTTAGCCATTTCTGGTGGAGTCTTGTGTCTCCTGTTGCCAGAAACATATGGGAAGGCTTTGCCAGAGACCATACCACAAATGCAGCAAATATGCAGGTGAGTTTACACACTGGATATACTGCATGTTTACTGGGCACAGTATTTCAGTAAAATGTCAGTTCAGATAGTTTTAAAGATTGACACAGCTTGCTTTAATTTAAAAGGTTCAGTGTGTAAGTTTTAGTTGCATCTAATAGTGAGGATTGCAATTTTCAACCAACGGCTCAGTCACCTCTCAGCCCTTCCTTTGCAAGTGCGTTGGAGAAGCTACAGTGGCCGATACGCTCTGTCGGCACTTGTGCTAAATAATACGTGTGGCCCTCCTTTTTATCCAATTTTCACTTCTCTTCTTACTTCTAACAAACCAGACGATTACTACTACTAATTGTTCTTCTTTGTCTTCCTTCTTCGTACATGTTCAACGCAGTGCTCTGTAGTGTAGTTTGTTCCATTTGGGCTACTGTAGAAACACGGCGGCGCAACAGGGCTACTTTCATGTAAGGGGACCCGGTGTGTTCCAATTTAGATAGAAATGGCTCATTCTAAGGTAATAAAACAGTTGATACGGTTCAATATGTAAGGTCTTTATACACCACTGAAAACATTTCGGTCAATAGATCCTCATAAAAATTACACACTGGACCTTTAATAAACAGAGGACAGACAAAAACGGTATTGAAAGGGTATAATATTTACCTTTTTATAGTTTTTTAATGTTGTAGTGCCTCACTTGTGAGGTCCTGTTTCATATTAGTGCTTCATGAACTGATTATTTTGTTACTCTTACTCTTAAGAACAAACATTTGACCACTGACTCTTAATGCCACTGTTGTTACACTGTTGGTAAATGTCCTTTCAATGTTCAAACAGGAGAGGAGAAAAAAAAGAAAAGGAAGCTGAAAATGGAGAGAGCACAGCTGATAATCAAAATAAAGAATCCAAATTATAGTTAGTTTGTATTTTGTTTTGTTCTTTCTTTAGTGTCAAACGTTCTTTCATGAATTGACAGACTGTAATTAAACTACAAGTGTGACATTGTAATACCCTTTTTACTGACCTGTTTGCTTTGTTTGTTTTACCTTCTGTTTTATGTCTTTTTGTTTGAAATGTCCTGGATTGTACATCTGTAACCTACTTATGTACATTGTTAGTTTTTAAAAAAGTGATGATAAAAACTGTTTTAATTTTATAGTTTTGAATCGATGAGACTCAACATGATTTACTATGTGTTGTGTTGTGTTATGGCCCGGCTGAAAGACCATAGCAAATATTGATACATATGTGAGGGATTAAGTAAGAGAAAGGAGCTTTATTTACTAAAAATAGTTTAGGTTCACAAATGTAATAAAAATGTAGATTCTAACACATGAAACTAGCAGAAAAACAGGATGCTAGGTTTAACTAAAACAATTTGTGAAAAAACTATACAAACATCAGTAACAGTAACGGACATGATGCCCGCAGAGAGCAAGAACTCACAGGCTACAAGGAAGGGGCAGGCTTCATTCAAGCCAGAGACAGTGGCCAGCTGCCTCCAATTCCTTGATTACTTCCAGCTTCAAATCACCATGAAACAAGAGACCCAAGCACAAGAACACACACAAACACACAAGCCCTGGCAGAGGCCCCGGAGCTGTCACTCTTGTCTTATATTTTTAGATTGACAGACTTCCGTTTCAGTTAGTTTGTTAAAGCATGTTGTTAAAGCAAGTTATCAATATGCTGAATAAACCAAATTCTTTTTCTGGTGACTGCTTCTTAACACTGGAGAGCCTTATTTCTAAGTATGGGTGATTATTCCCACAGAGGTTTTCCTAAAATATCTGCATTTTCACGTTTAGCTTTCAGTTTAACACAGATAGAGAAACTGTGATCAAGGTAAAACACAGGCTATATTATTAAAATACCTGGATAAAATAATAATGCTTCCATCAGGGCATAATGACAGTGAACAAGCATACTTGTGATTTCAGGAGAGGCCTGTTTGGACACGTTAACAGTGAGATGTAGCTTGCTACAAGATGCTTTCAGTTTTACTTATTTTCATTCTATATTTATAATTTAAGATATATCTGAATGGAAATAAAAACGCATAGATAACCAGGCATGGCCCAGCGGCACAGGGATCTGATGTGTTTACATGTTACATATGCTTTATTGGCGGGGGTGGTGGGGGATTATAAAGATGCGTCATCTGTTTCCGTGGAAAGTACACAGTCATTTCACTTTCAATTCAAATTTGACCGGAAGCTTTAAAATTTATTTTTTTGTAAATACACTGCAGTTGCTATTTCCATTGTGAAGTAAAGGAGCTGTTGGTAGACTGACCACAGCCCTGCTAGCACATAGCAGCTGTGAACGTTGCCCATATCGCCTGAAGGGTAGACAAAAATAAAAGTGAAACTACTACTAGCACTGAGACACTAGCCAAACCGTTGGCTTCTTTCTTCAGTGTGTCCAACGTTTTATTTGTAGATGGATTTTTGTCAGCATTTAACCTTCATCTGTAATAATATGATGGATAATGGATAAGGCCTAATTTAAGGTGAGTAGTTTATTCAATGTAGCCTCTTATTTGTCGATATGCGTTGTAGTTCGAGATGGTGATGATTATGACGTTTCGTAATAAAATAGTCTCGTGAAATGCAATTTGAAAGGCAAGACACACACTCACAACACTTCTTTGATCTACAGTGGTGCAAAAAGGTGGTATTTCTGCACATTTCTTAATGTTTTCTCTGTTTAGAAAAAAAAACTCAGTGACGGTGCGGAAACAACCATAGGTTATAATTAGCAGCAAGGGCTACTGCATCCTTTAATCCTTTTCTGTTTCTTACATTTGTCTTGATATGTGGCTCTTGAATGCTCCCTTCTTTATTCCAATATAATGTACATGTTACATTACAATTGCATTTTTGTTTGCATGCAGCTTGTTGATTTTTATAAAATAGCAAATAATTGCATATTTTATCAAAGAAAGTTGAGCGATAGTGGTTTGGTAACATCTGTTTTCATTGCTGAATTGTAGGCCTAAATGCAGGCAAATATTTCCTATATAGGCACAAACTGAATGCATTTAGTGCTCTTATTAAAAATAACGGTTGTTGATGGTAAAGCAATCCAAATGTAACAACATTAGCCCAATACTGTATCATCACGTTTCTGTTAATCCATATGATTGCGTTGCAGATAGCCCACACTTAAGCAGACTGACATGTTTTTCAATGGCAGCTCACAGACCTGTCCTGGTTTTGTTAAATAGGTTTCTTACAAACTCAGTGTTTATTCACATTAACATCCAAAAATATCTCTAAGCTACTGTGGGCCTGTTTTTACATTTATTTCACTGCTATAGTTTAGATTTGATACTATAAAACACGATGAGGCTTATAAGATAGGGGAGTACTTTTTACATGGGTAAAGTATCTGAGTACCTTTTCCACTACTAATCCAAAACTGAAATTATCTCATAAAATATCAATAGTGTTTTGATAGTTATTACGTTAAATGATGCTTACACATTAATGCCTCGATAACTATTGTAACATATTTGTCATTATTCTGAAATGGGTCATTCTGCATAATGAGTACTTTTACTTTTGGTACTTTAATGATGTTTTATTGCACATACCTTTGTACTTTACTTCAATAATTCAATACTCTGACAGTGACCAAGCTTTTAAATGTTTACTTTTGATACTTAAACACACTGATATTTTTTTACATTTACATAATTCACTTTTAATCTATTTATTATTTATAAATAAATAACTGTACCACCTAGTTCTTGTGCAGACTAAATTGGTCAACATCAAAACATAAGATTTCAAAAAATGAACACCAGATGTCACCGGTGGTCAAGACTTAGATAAACGCTGTATCATGAATAACCACTAGATGGCGGCAACACCTTTAATATTAGCCGCATGAACTTGACACACTTGTGCTTATTTTCTGTTATTGGCATGTGAAAAAGGAAGTATTGTGGTTTCCCTGTTAAAGACTCACCCTGATGCTTGTGTTGTTTTTTTATTATTATGTTATTTACTCACCTTGAAACTTTAAATCGCCTGCTGATCTGATTACACATATTGGAATGTGCATGTGGAGAAGAGTAGACGGCGACTGTAAACTTGTAGATATTATCAGCTCAACACAACTTTTTTTTCACAGTCACCTTGCAGAGAGTCCTACAGTAAAAACAGGAAATGAATCTTCTAAACTCGGGGCAGTGATACTTGAGATATACTTTGAACCCAAGCAGCAAGGAGGGGGGACTTTACATAACAGCATTACAGGAACCTTTGAGCTGTACAAGCATGTATCGCAGTGGTAAAATATGTTGCAAACACAAAAAGTAACTTCCCCATACCATCACCTGACAAAAAATTTGCATCCAAAAGACATAAGATAAAGACTACACAATACTTATGTGACATAAAAGATTCAGCCAGTATGTCTATGTCTTATGATACAAATGACTGAGCTTTAGGTATGCCTTTGTTTAATCTCCATGGAATCACTTTTGCTGTCAACTGCCTCTATATCAGTTATCATCAGTTGCTGGACGAGATATAACAACACTTGGGTAATTAGATAACAGGCTGCACCAGGCAGCGGGGTATAAGCAGAAGAGACAAACAGTGTTTTGAAAGTCACCGCAGTTTCTACAAAGTTCGAGTTTCAAGTCATCAAAAGCAAGTTGAAAGTGATTCATCTTTTGCAGCTTGCACTTTGGTGAGACCAAGAAGTATGTATGTGACATTAAAGAGGAGTGAATAATTAATTTTATTAGTGCAGGAAAGGATAGTTGAGCCTTTACTTTGAAGATGCACCAAGCTTCCTTAGCACAATAGACTGAAGAAAACTGATCCTTACGTGCTTTTTTGACTTTTTGAACCCTACAAGGTTGAAATTGTGGTTCACATCTGTCTGAACTGCTAAGATTGAACTTATTTATGTGGTGTGACACCTTAACTCAGTCACCCCATGAATGACTGTGGCACAGGCCATGAGTTTAAATTCCAATAGAGTCTCAAATTCAAGGGTTCAATCTCTGGTTCTTTCTTGTTCAATAAAACTGGAGTTGTACAAATAACAGACTGAGGAGACAGACAACAGCTCAGAACGGGTGGCATTCCAGTTGAAGTACCAAGACATACTCACCTTTTTTGCAAGAGATGCTTATAAAGAATATTATCTGATTCTTAATATCGTTTACTGGTATTTCCAGTTAATGTGGGAGGGAAAAATGGTAAATACTAAGATGCTTACTGTCAAAGAGCCAACAAAATGCATATTTCATACATCTGGTTGACAGTTTTAGTTCTATAGAACAGCCTCTCAGTGCTGAGCATGTTGCGATATGTTTTTTTGTCCTAAAAAGATAAGATAAGTACCATAATATGATTAAAATTCTTAGTAAATTGGTTGACTCCTTTAAAAACACCTTGCCTCTATAGAGTAAATGCCCTGGTTTATGATAAGTATAGATCTTTTTTTGGATGTCATCTTGGTAACTAAACAAATAACTCAGATATTTTTTCTGTGATTAACACATTGAAACTGTGTCATAAACCCCTCCCGGCCCTCTGATGCTAAAACAAACAACATTTGAAGTATTATTTGATCCAAATCTGTCAGTCAGCTCCACTCCTTTCCAGTATTTTAATTCACAAAACAAGAAACTCAACAAGTAGTAAATATTTCAGTTCCCTGAAGAATAAAAAATAACCCTCATGAGAAAAACACATTGACACTTTCATATGGGTTTTTTTTTAAATGCCGTGGTTCCAGTGGCTTACAAGGGTGTTACTGTACAAAGTGCCAAAACTCTACAGTGCAGCTCAGCCGGGATGACATTCACGCAGGGAGGGGTTGTGGAGGTTAGAAACCCATAAATGGATTTCCCAACTCTAGGCACATTTCTTGGAAATGCCCCAGCGTCCCCTGCAAACAGCACCACCTCCTGGTCAGATGTGGAACTGCATGGCAATTCCTTCTCTCAAGTCACGTGATTTATGAGAAATCGAGCCTTCAGCTTATAGAAACTCAGGCTGCAGGGAGAGCCTTGCTGAGGGATTGTAAGGCTCTTGACTCAGCAGTTACTTTTTTTTTATTGCATCACGTGTTTGTGCAGTTTTATATATCTTATCATAAGACTGCAGAGTTAACAGATGGCTGTGAGTGACATATGTAATAGTTTATTTCTCAGCCTTAAATTTTCACCTTGCAGGCATGAGCCTTATCAATGACACATGTGGGTTTTGGCTTCGGGGTGTCCTTCAGTACAACCCAATAGTGTCATCATATTGGAGGAAATTTTTAAAGTGAGGTGCCTTTATTGGGGCTCTGTTTGTCCAAAGTTGATTTAGAGCTGGAGTTTCTCGTGATAGTTTTATCAGCTAGAAATAAAAAGTGTGTTATATTTTCATAGTGCTTTTTGCTTGACTGGCATGCATTTTATTAAATTCTCCATGTGACATGCTGTTGTAAGCCAAAAGATGGCTTTCTTTTACAACTTGGAGTGAAAACTCCGATTTAAAAAAGAAATTACAGGGTGTTGCATGACGACCTGCTTGTGGCTGGCAGAGTAGTGTTAAAGCTGTTGAGTCAGCAAATAGCAGTGTCTTTGCTATTAAGGTCGAAGGTGGTGATTTTAGCGGCCCACAGGAGGATATACAGACAGAAATAATTTATTAATCAGGCAGTTCACATTATTATCCCTGGCAAGGTTATCATTAGCGGCCACTATAAACCATCTAAGGTACAAAGAACCGTATGAATGCACACTTTTCTAAAACAAACAAATAAAAATGTATGGGACTGTTTTGAACAGGTCTTGCAGCCCGCATGTTTAGCCCTTGTTCTTTGTATTCGTCCTGTTTTCTGCTTTTGTTGTTGTTGTTGCTATGACTTTGCATGCCATAGTTCCAACCAACATCACCTGTGGCCACACCCACAGCAGATGGCAAGGCAGTACAAAGACATTTCCATTCACAGGTGATTTCAGGTAAATGGGGGATTTAGTCTCATACACTGTCTCACACACAGACTGTTGAATGTTATTTCAATGTCAAAAACATTGTTATTAAAAACGTATATATGCTTTTTTTTAAATATAGCAAGGAAGCACCTTCTCTCCTGAAGTGGCCTCTGCTCATGTTGAAAATACCAACAGAAGTGTAGAGGTTGATGCATTCACTGTTTTTTTTGTGAGATTATGAGTGTTTCCTGCCTCATAAGAAAAAGAGTGTGTCAACTGTTAACACACACCACGTTGTTGGAAATGACTGTAGGTCATTCCTTGAGTGCTTTGTGCAGTTCTGTCAGCTGTGCCAGGGATCTGCTTACTCAGATAACATTTTGCACTTAGATGTACTGACACATATACCTACATACACTCTGACATATATATTGCCTGTAGTTATGGGGGTCAGGTGAAGGATTGTGTTATTGTCTAGGAGGACAGGGGCAGGAATTCATCTTGATCAACCAAGACAGTTTACACCCTAGCTGTACCTTAATTCACTTACTTGTTTGTTC